CTGTTTTAAGTACAGTAACAGGTCATTGTAAATGGATCTTTCTTGAAATTCAACTACAGCTCTGAGAATGGAATGTTTCTCTTGTAAAGTCTGGAACTTTGCTCCAACTGTTTCAGCTATGCTACCAATCACTTGGAGCTTCTGAATGGCTGCTTGTTCTTGAATACTTTATGTTACAGTTTCAGTTTTGTTTTAGTTGAGCCAGTTCCTTGTGGCTGAGAGGGCTTCTCACACTGTATATCCACCCGAGGACCAGGTCTGGACATGGACACACATGTGTCCGGTCTCACAAGTGAAAGTTGTGATTCTGGGACAGGATCCATACCACAATCCTCAGCAAGCTCATGGTAAGGCATTTCTCAACTGCTTCTGATTCACAGATCTATAAAATAATGGTTTCTCACATTGTACGGTACTGTAGTCAGGGTGCATCTCATCTGAGGTTAGGTTAGAAGTAAAAGCCAAGGTGATCAGAGGGGCGAGAGGGCAGCAGATAAGGAAGCATACACTGTCCTTACTGTAAACATTGCTCTCTAGTGGAAAAGCCGGCTCACTTCCTTTTCGGTAATGTCTTTGGTTTACATAGTATGTGCGTTTGTTTTCTTTTTACCCACGAACTAATGACACAGGCAGAGTGCACACTTTGATACTAGGTACAGTACAAGCAGATTCAGATATGGTTGTGTGCTGTTTAAAAATTAATATATCTATGTAACATTAACCTGGAATACACTTTATAAATGTGGTCTACTCTGTTGCTAAAAGGAACAAGAAAAAGTATCTGATTGTACAAGTTTATGACCAGCAGCCAAGAAACACTGCCTCTAGATGGCAGTTGTGTGAAACATTTGCATTTTTAAAGGTGCGCCAGCTCGCGTGATGTATGTCGATGTGTTTAGTGTAGCTGCAGTGACAGTTCATATCACTGGGAGGAGCTTAAGAATATGTTACCAGGTTCACAACTGCATTGTGTCACTTCAGCTTCTTCTGTGTTGCAGGTCTGTGTTTCAGCGTTCCTGCCAGAGTCCCCCCTCCACCAAGGTAAGAGCACGTGTGTCATGTGTTTAGTGCATTGACGTTTGGGTTTTTCTTGATTCCAATGTAAAATACTTTAATGTCTGAAGTAGACATTGTGTTAGAAGCGCATGTTGATTCAGATTGCATGAACATTAGCACCGAAGAGCGTGGATTGTTAATGGTATTGGATCTTAACAGTATTTTTTACCTGTAACTGCTTTGTTGGGTGAAACATTGTCAGTGGTGTGTAAGCTACGGACTCTACGTGGTTAAGACTCCTTCCTTTCTGAAAATTTGTGGTGTGACAGCACTTCATCTTTCAGTCTGCTGAACATGTACAAGGAGCTGAGCCGTGATATTCCTGGGTTTGAGGCTCCAAATCACGGCAACCTCATCGGGTGGGCAAGACAAGGTGAGTGGAAACTGTTGCCATTGATATTTCTATTTGTTTTCAGATAACTTCCAATATTAGTAATAAATGTTTTATACAGTGCTGAATGATTCAATAGAGCAAACATGTAATTCAGTGCCATTGTCATTTTGAGGATTTTATTCCATTTTTTAATGTCATATCTCAAATGATCCACTCGTGATGGAAACTAAGAATGCAAACGCAGTTTGGGTTGGAAAACCCCAGTAGTTAGGATCACTTCTTAATCCTAGGTCTACCTGGAAGGATACATTTAAAGTGGTTCAGAGGTGAACACTGGAACTAGCTTTAAATGTTCCATGACAGTCGGTGTCTTTTTGTTATCCTGTGACAAGGTTAGGCTGCATAATGGAAATTTCTTAAACGGGTATCGACTGTTGATGACGAGGAAGGAGCTGCCTCATGGTACACTACTAAGTGCCTCTCTCATCTTCACTTTGGCATGTTTTATTTCCTTTGGCTTCATATAGTTCTCAGGGTAAAACTGAGCACAGCCACAGCCAGTCCCTGTGATATATGGCTTGTCAGTGACGGGTGCATCTGTCCGTTTATTCATCAAAGGAAATTAGATGCATCAGTTTGGAAGACAAAGGAGATCTTCACACCACAAAGCCGTGCACATTCGAAGGCCGCTTTTGTGATGTTGCATTACTGAAGTATAGGTGGTGAAGATTTGTAGGTGCATCGGGGAAAATTACATTGTTCTTTTAGACCCAAGAGCTTTGCTTTCTGTTACGAAGTTTATAATTTGTCATTTTCGGTGGATGTTGTATGATCAAATGAAGGAGCGTGGTAAGAGTATATATAGAGGGTGGACTGAATTCATGAGAGGAAGCTCTTCAGGCATGAAAATGGAGGTGATAAGTTTCTCATAAACATTGGTGACATCCTGCATGACTTAATTACCCAGTAGACGGCTCTCCGAATTTTTACTGCTGTGAAAATTTAGATCTCGTGCTACGGAGTGGTGAAGAGTTGTGCCGTCTCTGATTTTGCATTTGTTGTTATTTGTTCATGCAGGTGTGCTGCTGCTCAATGCATGCCTCACAGTCAGAGCGCACAATGCCAATTCACACAAGGATCAAGGGTGGGAACAGCTGACTGATGCAGTCGTGAAACACATCAGTGACAACTCTCGAGGTGTCATCTTCCTGCTGTGGGGTTCTTATGCGCAGAAGAGGGCGGCTGCTGTTGATAAGGTACCTTGTCTATTATAGTGTATGTTGAAAGTTGTTTGAATATACAACCAATTGTGTTTGTTAATAGGGAACATGCCAGTGTCGTTCTTTTGGGTAGATTCTGTGCGGCTTACAGATACATTGATAAGTGGCGTCTATACGGCGTCACAGCCCAGACCAATATCATCGTCTTTACTGCTGCGAGTACACCAAATCTCGCTTAATGGAGAACATTAAATTAAACTTGTAATTCCTTAGTCCATCTTTTCTGGTGGCTGGGTTGTGTTTTGGTGCGGTCTGTCTGCTGTCTTCTGAGTACTGTCACGAGTCTGTACCAAACATTGCATTATTGTTGGTACCACTTCTGTGATGTGTTTGGGAAGCTTCCTGGATTTAATCTATGTTGGGAGGCTGGCGTTCATAACTTTTTCATGGTTTTCCTCAGCCCTCTGCGAAATGCAAAGGCGATATTTTTAAACAGGCTAGCTTTATTCCTCCCACGTTGTTTTTAAATGTTATACGCAGCTGGTCATTTGATATTTTGTATTACAGCCAGAATAAAAAAACACTTTTTCTGTCAGGTTTATGTTGATTATATTGGTGAATGCCGTGTTTGAGTGTGAAATTTGAGTCTTCAGAGCAGTAATTTGCTGGCTGTGGTTCAGACAAATGCAGACTGGAAAGCACTGTGCTATTTAACGCGCAAGGCTTAGGAGCCATCTGCGTAATGTTCTGTTGTTTAATTTTGATTGCAGGCTTACATTTCTGCTGCGCTGATTAGAGTCGTCCTCGTAAGCTAATAGTTCTCTGGGTATTCTGTAAATTCTGTACCTATTATGGAATCCAAAGGTTTATTACCATGTCCACAATAGTTTGCCATTAGTCCCAATCCTGAAACAGATGAATCCAGAATATACCCTCACAGTGATCCATTTTAATAGTATCCTCCCATCTAAGTTTGTCACCTTGTCCTCACAGCATGATGCATCCTTGAGTTGCAGGTGGAGGAGAGGTCTCCAGATATGAAGGGTGGTTGCCAGTGTGCAGACTTATAGGTTTGTTTAGTTATTTTACAGTTCTGTATCAACTGCTGAGAGTATATAGTGTAAAGTCTGAAGGATGATTATGTATGAATAAATGGGAGATGAATTGGGAGTTGTAAGGTATTTTTGCGTGGCATTTAGCTGCAAGAACTGGCATAGTGTCATTGAGTTGATGCTTGTACGGGATTTAAATTTGGGACCTGCCTCCTGCTGCAGTCCTTGGTTGTGGTCATGGTTAAGTTTTGTGGGTCGTCTCCTCCCAGTTGCGACCTCAAGCTGCATAATTTGTCCTTTTGTCTGCATTTTGATAATGCGCTTGTTTGTTTTTATCAGGTTTTCTTTTGTTCTCCCCCTTTTTTATATTTGTTCTGTCTAGAAGCGGCACCACTTACTTATGTCGACACATCCTTCCCCGCTTTCTGCACACCGTGGATTCTTGGGGTGCGGTCACTTCTCTCGCTGTAATGAGTTGCTGA